CTTGATCTTGACGGTATCGCCCGAGATGCGCGAGGCGAGCTCGCTTGCGTCGCGCTGGTCGTACCACGAGATCTCTTGGTACAAAACATGCTTGAGCACCTCACGGCGCAAAGACCGCATTTGACGCTCGGCAGAAATCGCAAAGCACGCGTACGAGCCGTAGCCCGAGAAGAGCAAGACGAATGCGAGGATGAGGAAGTTGAGTGCGGTGTCGTTGACTGCCGACTGGTTGTTGGTCGAAAACTTGTTGATCGCATCGCCAAAGAGGATGGCCATAAACGGTAACGTGGCGCCGTTGACGATCGACATGAGCAGGCCGACGCCAATCAAGGCCGCGTCCCACCCGTTGCCGTACCGGTAGAGCGAGAGGAATGAGAATTTCTGCTCCGACTCGGCCGGCGTTGCGACGTCGACCTTGGCGTCGCCCTTGGGCGTCACCACGACGTCGTACTTGGTGGTGTCGCTGATGCTCTTGTGGTGGTCAGACATGGTCCGGAAGCGGCAAATGCAATTATGATCGTTTTGAGTCGTTTGTGGATCGGGCGCGAAAAGGATCGCAGCCGATGGTGCTGTTTTTGCGTCGCGTGATTGGCTCATTGGTCGTGATTAGCACCAAATTTGGCTGTGTAGAGTGGGACATCGATGCATTTGATTCTACAGGTTATTGCCGCCCAGTTTGCCGTTTTCGCGAACGTCAGTCTGGCTTGTATTCGTTAATAGAGGTTTTCACCCTCAATAGAAGAACAAGCTCACTAGAGACAAGGGTCAATTTTTATTGCACTTGCTAAAGATCGTCAGCTCGATCCCGCCAGTTTAGATTGGCTAAAATATACAACCAATGATGTAGCTGATGACATAATGTGTTATCGAGAGCGGATAGGCGGAATTGAGAACTATGATAGTACAGCTAGGGCCTTGTGCATCGTCTTCCGACTGCGGTTTCATCCAATGCTTCACAAGTACGAGTTCTCATTGTCCCAACCTGGTAAGATCACGTTGTGAGGTAAGCGTCCGCAAGAAGCACACAACAATCATTTTAACATGCAGAAAATGTATTAAAGCAGCAGCATAACCGTTCAAACTATGCGTAGTTGTGCGACGCGAGGTGCGTGTAGATGCCGTTGAGACGCATGAGCTCGTCGTGTGTGCCTTGCTCTGCGATGCGGCCGCCGCTCACGACGCAGA